CCAAACCTCATTGGCCAGTTGACATATGACAAACTATTCATTAGGCACTCAAATCTATTGGCTCATCAACCATAATTAAAATAAGGAAATCACTAACCCAACAGCTTGGCACAATTGGTAAGTGGATTACTAATACAACGATAGCCTACATAATCAGAAGTTTTGACTGTTCCTTGTACTCCGATCCCTCCGTCCCAAACTGGATGTCACATTTGCTTTCTGCACGCTTTTTAAGGAAATAAAGTACAGAGTAAATGATATGTGTTTTTCAATTATACCCTTCACATTTCTCGCTTTTGGAAAATAATAATGGTACATTGGAAAAGTAGAATGATGGTGATGTTCAATTTTGAAAAGAGGACAACATTTTGGGACAAATTAACCTAAAAAGGGAAAGTAAGTAATTAAGTAACACAGCTAAAATGAGACGGAGAGAGTAATTCAAATTGCAAAATAAAAATAGTGCAGGTAATAAAAACATCCTTATTATTTTCGAACTGAAGTTGTAGAAATTCTATAATTTGTGTGTTCCAATAGCTAGCTATCTAGTGACAACAATATTGTTTCACAGTGAAAAGCATTGCAGCTTTCATGTGAAAGGAAAGGTCACATGCAGCATGTAAACTAGGCCTTTGTCGTTTAAAGAATGATGAATCCTTGCTAGCTGCCATCACGGCCGATAGTCACAAGCCATTGCAATTAGTCACAATCTTACTGTTCTTCATTTGACTTTAGTTATACTGCGATGTGAAATTCTACAATATAATCCCATAAAGTATTCCTTGGATGAACAAAAACTCAAACTCTTATATGCTTTGCTATTGGCCATCGAGTAATTGAGATCATTTCTTATAATCCCAACAAAAATAATATAGAGTAGTCTTAAGACATTGGTCTATCGAATGATAAAACTCACTTAATTAAGACTTGCTTTCAATTTCAGACCATTTAATTTTTGCCAATAATATTAGGGCATTGTCAAGTTGTCATAGGGAAGCCATGTTTGGCCTTCGTTCTAATATTGTACTTGTAAATTACTAGCTATTCAACCCCACACCATTTAATTTCATGCAAGAATCCCTATCCAACTACATATAATATCTCTGCCCTCCAAGAAATTAATTAAAGAATATCAACTAACACCTAATGGTGTCCAAGCTACACATATTCATATTTCTTTTAATATATAGGGTCACCCTAGATAATTGTTCCGAAGATATGCTTTGAGTAAAGTTTCTAGCCGGCAAAATATTTAAGCTAAAGTAAATCAGTTTATGTTGTTCATAACTGATTGGTTCAAACTAAGAAAGCCAATAGACTGTCATATATTGTTGAAAGTCAAACTTGAAACTTTATAGTTAATAAATCAACAAATTGATCAACTCAACTAGCTATCTGGACCAACCTTGCATACCATATATATTCCATCCATGAGTAGGGGTGTCAATGCGGGTCGGTCCACCTCACATCATGCTTATTTTTGTGGGCCTTTATAGGCCGGCTCACAAAGCCCATGTACTAGGATGCGTAGCCTGACAACCCACACAGACCAAGCCCGCATTTCCGTGGACTAAAAATATTAGACCTTAACTCGCAAGCTTCGGTCGACCTTGACACCTCTATTCGTGAGCAACTTGATATATAGTGCTTTTAATTATTTCTTTACTAATGGGGTTAAATCTTGTACTTTGGAGATCTAGTGGCATTCAATTAGATGTTTCACTAAGATTACATGTATGCATGGCTTAAATGCAGACAAAGTTAAAAATTGTGTTGACCAAGTGGCTGGCTAGTCGTAATTAATTAGTTAGTACGTACAGATGAGATGCCATAATTGCATTGGACCTCTCGCATTCAATATTCAAGCTGGCAGTCTGATCAAGATTGTTGACCACAAACAAAAACACCATGCGTGACTGATGCTTCAATGTTCCAAATTAAGGGGCTTGACTTTTAGCTAAGATAGCGAAAAACAAAAGGATAAACATAAGTATCTATGACGTCTGAATATATAAGATTCAGTTTAATTAAGGTCTCAAGTTAATTTTAGTTATGAGAATGAAATTGTTATAAAATTTATGAGATAGTAAAAAAGTTCGTTATTTGTCAGTACTCTTTAATGTCATATTTAATATGAATATAATTGATTTTGGTGTATATATAGTATTGAAAAAGAATAAATTACTTCTAGAGACTCTTAAATTCTTACTTCGTAATGTAAATATAAATCTCTAGGGGATTGAATAGTGATGATGTGAGCTTTATGACACGGGCATAAAGTTCGGCGCAGCCCACAGCGCCCGTGCGGCATCCCGGGACACCTCGTGCCTTGCGGATCAGCCTTTATCCACATACGAGAAAATCTAGTCTCGCCATGCCATAGGCTCAATAGGGAAGCGGCAACAGCTCCCAACCAGTTGTGTCCATCATCGCATCGATCCTCTTCATAGTAAGTATAAGACTAACGACAAGCTCCCCAAATTTAACCAGGTCGACGTGCTTAACTCGGCCAGACCTAACATCTAAGGCAAATTAAAACAACTCTTAACGCTATTGACGCCCCTTTCACCCACATGTCATTGCTAACCAGTCGACCATTTCCACATTCTTTTAAGTTTTTACACAGTCACGGAAAAATGGTCTGTGACATTTATCTACAAAAGTCTACATTAAAAGCATAGGAAAAGGTACAAGAGTGCGTGGTTGGAGTACAATTTTGTACTGGCTGTTTGAAACGTTAGCGTCCCATGCATGCAGGGATGGCCCATCCGTCGGTGGAAAAGATCGGGCCCACATGTTAATCGTGGCTCTTTCTCTAAAATTGTAGGGTATCCCTATAACAAGTCATTGTCACCTACAAAATTCGAAAAATTTTGGGCCTATGCCCTATCCCTCTCACGTGGCCCAAATGCTAATGCTGATGATGAAAAGCACCATTCCCAACAGTAGATTTTAACAAAACATTGGCAATTAGTCAAGGATAATTTGCAGCGTAGAAATTAAATTTGAAGTTGAAACTTATATTAGATTCTTTAAAAAAAATTATGTGTTTTGAATATTAATAGTACAAATATACAATTCATATAACTAATTATATTCTTTATAAATAAGAATTTAGGTAAATTCACATCACTATCAATCATATAGTCGTAATCTTATTTATATTACATTTCAATCGATTCAAAGTTAAAATGTTGTCAAACTTCATCGTAAACTTTTTGTTCACACTTTGACTTCATGAAATTTACATTGAAAATCTTGCTCTATGACTTTCTACCTGGACTGCTAGGCTGGTAGACATGACTTTAAATCAAATAATTCTGGGCTTTATTTTAAACCATGTAAAGTGTGTTTTCATTTATGACAAATTATCATGAAGCCCAGGATTGTTGGTATAAACATCCACAAGACCGAAACAGATGAGTCTTTTATTAATTATGATGATGATAATAATATAATTAGGATTACGAATATCATATTTATATATAATTCTAACAACTTATGATACATTTATAAATCTACCTTTATATTATACCACGAGGTGCTACCCCACACCCTGACCCACCCAATGAATCTTATATATTTCCAAAATTACCCTTCTATCATTTCATAGTGGCACTACCTCACACCCTCAACCCCTCAATGAACCATGTATATTTATAAAATTTGCCCCGAGTCCCTAGCCCACTCAAGTTGGTTGAGAATCCTGAAAACAAGTGTTGCAATATTATTTCAAAACTTGTTACCGTTTAGTAGTGTAGGAGAGGTATGGACAATTATACATAAAATAATATTTATGGTGTTCACGGAATGTTAAATTACCTCAAGAGATGCTATATTACTTAAAATGTTAAATTAATGTGTTTGATTAAAATTGAGATATGTAATATATATCAAGTTTGGTAATATATATCAAGTTTGGTAACGTTACATTCCATTAGTTATGTGATATAACTTCAACCAAACAACCTCTTAATACATCGTTGTTGCTGATGTTGGCCCTGTTTGGTAAAAAAATTGGCCTATAGGTCAGTTTTAACTTATTTGATCACTATTAATTGTTTGATTTTGTTAAAATATTAATATAAATGTTTGGTTAATTAGCTTTTTGCAACTCCAAAAGGCTAAAATTAAAAAAGCTACTTCTAGCAACTTTTTCAATTAGCTTTTTGAGAAAAGAAATTATACCAAACAGTTATTAGCAAACATCTAATTTACCAAACACTTTTCTACAATCAGCTAATGTTATCAACTATTTATACTCTCTAATTAACACAATCAGCTAACAGCAAACAGCTATTAGCTAACAGCCATTTTACCAAACAGGGCCGTTATCAACATTTTTAGTTGGAAATAACATATTGTTTTTTTTTAAAGGAAAGAACAAAATCGACATGAAAGATTGCATTGCAGAAATTTTATATAGTAGCTGGGGAGTTTTCTGGTGGTGTAACAGTAGAACAGGCAAAAAGGTTATATAGGTGCGGGCTATGGCAACAGTACATATATTGTACGATAGTTGGTTTCACGTGGGTTGATGCCACATTATTATAACTCCCACAACGGCCACCACCTTCTCCCACTCAATTATTGACAACAAATATTTAGACAAATTTAACTCAATGGTTCAGTAACAGTATTTGAAAGAAGATACAAAGGTTTAAGCATTAGCGGTAGTGTAGAAATTATGTCCAAAGTGGACAGATCCCTTATGTGCACTGACATTTAGCTCTGTTTATTGAGTCATTGAGTCACATGGATTTACATATTTTCATATGTTACTATATTATGTCGGGCCGGGCGACAGTGTAAAATTATGTCAAAAATGAACAGATCCCTTATGTGCACTAATATTATGCTCGAGTCATTAAGTCATCATGATTTACATATTTTCATATCTTAATATGTTATGTCGGGCCAGAATGAGGTGCCCTTGAAGTTGGGATCGAACCTTTTGGGAGAAGAATTATCAATAACAATGAATTCCAACAAGAAAAAAATTACAAAATATCTCGATTTCTACATATTTTCCAATCATCAATTTACAAGACGATGGAATATGGCCATTACAGTCATCAGATCAGATCATCTCCGCCGCTTCTTGCCGCCGCCGTGGAGTCTTTGATTTTCTTGACTCCATCAGATTCGAACTCGGGACGACTCGGTTGCCATCTCCATCACATTCTCCGGAGTATTCACCGAAAATAAAAAAAGAAAAAGAGATAAATACAAAAATTACTTCATTTCCCACTTACCAATATGGTAAGAAAAATGTATCACCGTCCTAAAACGGAGTAGTCAACCGAGTCAAGCGCGTTGACCGCCGTGCCGGCAGTGCAACTCGGACGAGTCAAATCGGAGCACCGATAGTGTTGCAGTGTTTCTTTATTTTCTCCATCCAATAATGTCTGTCATATCATATCATATACTTGTCCTATAGTACGCGTTTGGTTTCCGCAAAATGAAATCACGAATTCCGGTTATCTGACTTAAATCACTGCCGATTCCTAAACTCGGAACCAAACGACCCCCCGGGGCATTAGCATATCGATTTACCGGAAACGCCATGTAAGAGCGGGCGTGACTCGCCCCAGAATTCAAGGTTGCTTCGGATGCCGACGTGGCAGTATCTCTGGAAGTCCTCGTAGTTCATGAACCGGGTCTTGTGATCGGATTCGGATCGGGTCAAATACCGGAGAATTTCCTCGAACACCGACTCGTCGCAGGGAATGGCTAACGGCCCGGAGTTGGTAAACCCGTACTCTTCTTCCGCCTGCGACAGTAGCTTCTTGAAGACCGGGTGGTTCAGGTACGTGGCGCGGACCACGAACCGTTTGCTGTTCGTCCCGACCGTGATCGCCACGTGTCCGGCGGGGACATCGGCCGGGACGCGGCTGCGGGCCGCCATTGCCGCCTTCTTGCGCCACCACCGGATCATCTGCCGGAGCCTCACAATGTGCTGGATTCTGCTGCACCCAGACATTTCTTTCTTCTTAATTGATCGAAAAAACGATTTTTTTTTCTGTTTTTTTCAGAAAATGATTTCTCCGACGATGTTTCGCTTTGAATGACTGTCTCCGTTGACGGTGAGAATTGAGAAAGTGAGGGGTTGTGTTAAAAGCTAGCGGGGGGTTTATAAAAGGAAATGTCTGGGGAATAGCCCCGGGTTTGGAAGATAATTACAAGTATGCCACAACGTTCATGTAACATGGCTTGTGTGTTTTACGGGATAGTATTTTATTCATATTTTATTTTCCTGTAATAATGAATGTACAATATTTTATATTTAAAATTGTTAAACAGTTAATGGGTGAAGACATATACCTATAGGTTTTAATTTATTGCTAAATTGTTTGGATGCTTCCAAGCATGCAATGGAATGCCCGTGGGAAGTGAAGGTGGTTCAATTCATGATTATCCAAAACAAAATCAGGTTAGTAATTTACTTGTAAGGGCTGGTTTCAAGAGTTTGATCAATTATTTTTCTTTTCTGTTAAGGCACTTTAAAGGACAAGTTGTAAGATTTTCAAGAGTTCGATCATTCAGTCCTCTTTTTCATTAGGGCACTTTAAAAGACAAGATGTTAAGGTGGGCGAACTTCATGCTCATTGTTTCTCTAATAGTGTGTACATAGGTGATTTTTTCTTGAGGTCTCTTCGTGGCCTCCTCTTGTTTAAAAAAAAAATTAATAAAGAAAATAATATTCTCAATATTTAACATATACCATATTGCACATGTGTTACGTTGCACACGCATGCATGTATACAATACATATACATGTTTATGCGTTGACATGACAATACATATACATTTTATATATAATTGATCGTTCAATTATCACTTAGCTATTGTTTAAGAGTGCGCATTAGGTAATCTCTCCGCTCATGTATTTCTTTTTTTGAAAATCCGCTCATGTATTTCTAATAGACACACAATTCAAGAGATGTAAATTACACTAAGAAGACCCTATACTACAAGTTTTTTTTTTTTTTTAACTCTACGCTACAAGCTTAACCAAGAAAATGTTAGTAAAAATCAAATTCATAATTTGCAAGTACAAGAGTCATGTTCATCCACTCAACCACTATTTTCGGACCACCTTAAATATCGTTGTTTTTCCTTACGGATTGTTTGTTCTTAGGACCGTAGTGCGAAATAGTAATATTATTACTAGGATACATATATATACATATTAAACAAACCAAAAAAAAAAAAAAAAGAAAGATAAATAGATAGATAGATAGATAAAAAGTCGAAAAGAATACATTTTTATTGCTTCCAGCTAGCCACATGCATCGCCCACTGGAAATGAAGAGAAAAGAAAATTGGACAAAATATATGTGATACTGATCGATATGGCCTAGATCTCACGGTACACCATGTCACCATTTTTGGGGTCCAATAAAGGGTTTTACCCGAGACCCCACGCATTCAAATCATTAAGCTAATATCATTTTGCCACCAATTCGGTTTAAAAACGAGCAGAAATGACATAATAATATCTCAACATCAAAATTTTAATAAGTGTACCCATAGATTTGTGGTATCATGATCTCTGCAAAATGTTCAACACCACTTTGATTGCAACTTTTGGGAGTGAACCAGTCAAACACATTCGACAGCAGCCGTGGCCATGTTTTTTTTTTTTAATCGCAAGAAACGTCGAAACCAAAAAATCGAAGCCTACAAAAACTTCCCACATGCCTAGTCTAGAAAGAAATATGTATAATTTATTCTACTTCTGTTAATATATATTATCTTGTAGAAACTCAAAATCGCTATTTAAATGTGCGGTCTGGATGGATATGATGCTGCATTATTGACACCTTATAACTCTAGTTAGCAAAGGATCAAACAAATAAATCAGTCTGAGTTGTCTATATGTTATAGTTAATCAGATTAAGCTAAGACTGTCAATATGCAGTTCTCATTAAAAGTCAAACTAGCAGACTAGCTCAAACCAAGACCACCAATAGACAAGTCTCATAAAATATTCTGGTTACCTAGCCAAGTGCCTCATATTATCCAATAAATAAAATATATATGGATTTGAATTCTTTTTTTTTTTTAATCATATTTAGTGTGACCACAAGTTTTCTCCATAAGTTAACTAATACCACTCATGTTCATGTAGAGATTAATTTTGTTTGTTCCAAGTATTATTTCAAGAATGACAAACTACGGGATCTTTGGTTTAAATAAATTCATATTTAATTTCTCTATTTAAAATAAGAAAAGTAAAAGATAAATAATAAAAATAGGTATTCCATATCTGACCACGGCCCATGTGCGAGGATGCCCCATCGTTGGTGTTTAACATTCATTCTTGATTCTTCAGCTAACAGCCAAACTGTTCTCTCTTCTTTTTATTTTTTTTTTAAATTGTGTGTTCTTCGTCATTGCTACTTGAATATTATATGGTCTATGCCCTACTATATTTAGAGGTGATATTCCATCAAATTTCAGCTGCGTTATGATTGGTTATCATATACATATACCCAATTTTGTTCTGTTGGCCTTTTCAAATTAATTTGAATTCGTTAATATTAATAATGATGGTGACATGTGGAAGTTGTTTGCGTTTCATTTCCACAATTCCATCTGCTTCAGTCATTATGTAATACATATTATTGTTTAACTAAGTGCAGTATAGACAAGTTATTGGAAATGGTATTGATGTGGTAAATACTAGCTTTAGGACGATCTATGAATTAATACGTCTACGTGTAGCTTGCAAAGTAGAATAATGAGCTCGGGTAACTTAGGCAATAGGTCAGACCCTTCCGAGTGAGATGTAATGTTAGTGGAAAAATTCAAAAGTTTCCCATAGCTAGGCGGCATTAAATGCGCTACTTATAGGGGATTTATAGGGCTACGGTTAATAGGTGGCACATGCCGGACGCTCAGCATTTCAGGATTGCCAGCCACGTGTTCCACATGCACCGGTGCCTTCAGTGGCTCTCCTAGTAGGTCCATCTGAGATACGATTCCTGACGAGTTTGACTATGACGTGATCTGGCAAAGCTACACCAGAGTTACTTTGTCCTCTAGTGTAGTAGGCAATTCATTAAGAGTACCCGATCCAAGCACTGAGATCAGGACCAAGCCAAGAGGGTAGTGTTGTTTGTTGACTAATAATCTTAAAGGTCGAATCTACAGCTCATGTCGGGTCGGGTTGGGCCACACAATGTCGGTAAAGCTCAGGAAATGTTCCTTAGGGCATACAGAATTACAGAGCGCGTACCGAGCGAATATACAATCATACGCTTAGGGAGGTATGGGTTATTCATTCACGTATCTTATATTTTTGAAATGAATGTGAATATAAACCTCTTACCATCATCTCAAAAGTTATATCTAGTAGCAAATATATATATATATATATATATATATATAAAAGGTCAAATTATTCTACATGTATATGTAATGAGTTCTAACGCCTTAGCCCTTAAGAGACCCGTAATCTTTCTTAAAAACGAAAGTTGATAAATTGTAAACTCAGTCTACAGTTGCGAGGAGTCGTCTAAGCTCTCCCACAAGTGCGCAGGAATGGTGTGATCCATCATGAAACATCGTATCAAAGACCCCATTTCAGGAGGAAATGATGGGAGTCAGTTAGTTTTAATGTTTGATGGCTGCCGTTATTCGCCCCGGTGCATGCATGGACAACCTCAAAGCAACCAACGTGAATTACCGTGAAGTGGTCTTTTTGAATTGGGGAGGGAATTCAATTTGTCCTTCAATGCAATTCTGGTCGGAATCCCGACACCAAGATTGCCACTATTTATGTTCCATAGACGATCTTTGCCACATTTCAGTCATCTAGCTACGCTTATGTACGGCAATCATCAGAGCTTCCCTACATCCTTGCTGGTTTTGCATTCCACAATTAACCTTGGTGCCCCTTTCAGGAACACTTTTCCCATGCTGCATTGGGAGAATGTACTACACATTAATTTTAAAAAGCACATTTGATTTATTAACAGGTGTAATTCTCTACTTTTCTTGAAAAAAAAAAAGGGGGTTAAAATAAATATGTAAGTAATATTTTAATGTTACAAGACTCTAATTTGGTAAGTATACGGAAAATAACTAGATGGTTGAAAGATCGACTCTTGTAAGGGTGTATTATGTTAAAGTGTTCTTGATCAAGGATTTTATCAAGTACTCCATAATTAATTAAGATTCAAACTTTGTAAGCTCAACATAAGTTCGTTGGGTTAAAATAAATAATATTTTTATGTTATTCATTTCTCTAATTTGATAAGCATACGGAAAATAAGTAGATGGTTGAAAAATCTGCTCTTGTACGTAAGGGTGCATCATGTTAATGAATTCTTGCTCAAGCACTTTAATTTATCAAGTAAAAGATTCAAACTTTAATTTGTAAGCTCAACATAAGTTGAATCTAAATTAGTTTCATAGTAGTTGAGATACCGGGGGACTATATGTTAAACCCTAAACTCATATTAAGAGAGAGAGAACATAAACTCATATTAAGAGAGAGAGAGAGAGAGAGAGAGAGAGAGAGAGAGAGAGAGAGAGAGAGAGAGAGAGAGAGATTGAAGATTTGAATTAAACGCACTTTTTAAGTCGTTATCTCATTTACAGGAAAGTTTGCAATCACTATTTGAATGTGTGCTCTTATTAAATCTATGATCACTAAATTAAAGGATTACAATAAGATAAAACTTAGTTAACTTATCTATATCGTCTAACCAGCTCAAATCAGGAAAACACCCCAAAATTATAAAATTCTTTCAATTCCATGAGTATTGGTACACAATCAATGTTGATAACTAATTGATGTTGATGTCGAGGGCTAACTTTTTTTCTTTTTCTTCATTTCTAAGCTTTTTCATTCAACCATAACTACATATTATATAAATGGAATAGATCTTGAGGAATATATAGTAAGAGTAGGGAGCCAAACCACTTTCCTTCTTAATTGGTTGTTAACTTTGTTGGTAAATTTGAAAAATATCAACCGAAAGTAAAGCGCCACTTGCTCACATTTAAGGATCAAATTGCATGATTACTAATGGTTTATATGCCAAAAAAGAAAAAATCATGTGAAACAAAATGTAAAGTAAATTTCACAATATCCCATATTAATAATGCGGTATTATAAATAGAATAATGAAATGTAATTATCACTTTATATT